CTCAGTTTTCCATATTATAGCAGCCTGCTGGGTTTGCTCCACTCTGCTGGGTGACTGGGAGTAAGGGGGTTAGTCTAGAAAAAGATTAGCCACTGCCAGCTAAGGCCTCCAGTGCACTGTGCTAAAATCCTTATATGATTGAAAGGTACAGTTGTATAGATCTTCTGCAAAATATTCACAATCCACAGGATTGTTCATTTTCGTCACTTTGAAAGGATTCAGAGTTGATACAGCTAACCATATCCCCAAGGAAAGAGAAACGTAAGGATTACAGCTTACGAATAAGAACCTTCTTGTCCTTAAAGATCTGACCCAGAAGATTCCAATGCTAAACAACAGAAAAACAAATAAAAGAGGAGGGAATGATAGTGAGCCCCTGAAATCAGAAAAGAGCAGAGATAAATAAGAACAAGAATGAGGAGGAGGAAGAGGACAGGAGATTGTCACCAATGCTCTCCAGATTTTGTATACCATCCCCAATTAAGATTCAAACATGGGGTCAAAGTGCATACCCTCCAAAGAAACTGAGAACCTGGTCAGTGGGGGAATCGTCTTTAAGTAATAAATGTGGGAAGGGCAGACACAGTTTGAAGGAGAACAGAGCAAGAACACTGAATATTTCACTTCTGTGATGTTAACAGCACAGAGATCCCACATAAAGTGTATATATTCAATCCTGCCTGTATCATAACTGACATTTATATAATCAATTCAGTAACTCTATGTCACGTGACTTGAGGTTAGCATATGTGTGAGATGATCTTTGTCTCTACCTAATGAAACTCATGTAACTCTTTCCTGATCTGTCCGTATAACATACACATCTAAATAAATGCCTAAACCTGAATTATTAGAAAGAAAAAATAGTTTTTTCAGATTCCTGGTCAAAAAATCTATGATGCACAGAATGCATATAGTACCTCAACAGTGCTAGCTGGAAATTCTTTTTTGAGGGGTCTGCAACTCTGGAGAGGATAGGGAAGAATACGATGTGAAGGCTGCTTACTGCTCCAAAAGAGTCAGACCCTAATCTTAAATGAGTCTAAGGGCAATTTTATCTGGGAAGCTCAAACTTCAACAGTGGGCACAGAATTCTGCATAAATAGGAAAAGGAAGAGGGGGGAAAAGAGAGAACAAGCTAGAGGAGGAGTGGGGTCCCAGTAGAAAGGAGAGAGCTGGGTGCTGTGTGAGGTGAGGCATGGCAGCCAGGCCAGCACACGCACAGAAGTTGGAGGGTCTTCTTACCTTGTTCTTTGACAGAAGCTCTAGTGCCTTTCGATGAACGCTCCACAATCAGTTGACTCGTGAAGGTCATGAATTCCTGAACGCTAAGAAACACAAAATGTATTTATTGCCTACTTCTTATCACCTTGTCCTCAACACAGTGGAAAGTGACCTCTGGGCTTATACATTAAGTAGACATTGCTTCTTGGTTTCATTCCTTTCCCTCCCACCCTTAGTAACAAACACTCTATAAATGAGCACAATTACTGATAATTATGAATCATCATCACCATGAAAGCTACATCTGTTTGCTACCTAGCTCACCAAAACAGGTGAATTTTCTGGGGGTTTTTCCACAGGATACAGTCAATTGTACCTTTTCATCAGAGTATAATTGGAGATGCAATGGAAAAACAAGAGGTACGTCCTGCTCTCAAGGTCCCAATAACTTCCAAGAAGCAGGACAAATAAGAACTGCACTAGCAAAATAGTAGTGCAAAAACTGTCAGGCAGAAATGCACAACCATTTACGGCTGTGTCCACATGACAGACCCTTGCAATGCCACATACGCCCATAGTGAATGCTAGCTCAGGTCTGCTGGGGCTCGTCCACAGACCGAGCGCAAGGCACTCTGGATGGAATAAAAGCAAACTGCTTATCCAAGACAAAAAAGTGGGAAATGGCTCAGACAAAGGGTGAAAGGGAGAAGGTCCATCATGGGCTTAACAGAGATCTATCCAGAACAGAACAGTCATAGGAGATGGTACAGCCAGAGGAACAGGTGCTGACAAGGAGCCTCCAATTGGGGATGTGATATAAAGGGCAGCCAGGGCCATCAGAGCAAGGTGCTCAAATGCAAGTCTGCAGCAGGCTCCAGCAGAGCCATATAGGTAACTGAAGGCCTGACTCTGGGCCTGTGTGCTGCGCCTCCACAATAAAAAAATCAAGATTTGTGCAACAGTTAAACGAGGTAATACGTGTAAAGCACTTGCAACAATGCCTGCACACATAGTATATTACCTGTTAATATCTTGAAGGACTGAAGTGATCAAAATAACCCCTCAGAAAAGAAGACCTCAAACAAGGAAGGCTTTGCAGTAAACCTAAAGAGATAGCACTTGAGGTACGGCTATAAAGAGACAAAGGAAGAACTGCATTGTGACAGCATGTATACGAAGGCCAAAAAAGCTGGGAAACTACTTTTTCAAGTTTGGGATCTGGTAATTATGGGGCACGAAGGATGTAAGTAAGGAGATCTTATAAGAAAATGAGCTCAGGCCGGACGCGGTGGCTCAAGCCTGTAATCCCAGCACTTTGGGAGGCAGAGGCAGGTGGATCAACGGAGGTCAGGAGTTCGAGACCAGCCTGGCTAATATGCTGAAACCCCATCTCTACTAAAAATACAAAAATTAGCTGGGCGTGGTATTGCGCACCTGTAATCCCAGCTACTTGGGAGGCTGAAGCAGGAGAATTGCTTGAACCCAGGAGGCAGAGGTTGCAGTGAGCTGAGATTGTGCCACTGCACTCCAGCCTGGGTGACAGAGCGAGACTCCATCAAAAAAAAAAAAAAAAAAAAAAAAAAATCAGCTGGAACATGTGTTGTTTTAAGACATATTAGTAGAGATGTCCCTTTAGTGCTGTAGCTGTTAGTCATTGCAAACCAGTGTGTGTGTCCCAAGCAGGTAAGGTATAAGTCCTACAAGTGAAAACTCTGAGAATCTTAAGTGCTAATGGGAAGGAACAAGGAAAAAGAATCAGAGCCAAGTTGGCACCAAAAGTTCCATCTGAGAAAAGCAACAACACAGAGCAGTGAATGTAGGCCATGGTAAAGACTGCAAAGACCAAGAACTCCAAGAAGGAGCTAAAAGATGATGCAGCAATTCCGCTTCTGGGTAAATACCAAAAAAATACAAGCAGGGTCTTAAAGAGATATTTGTACATCCATGTTCATAGCAGTGTCATTCACAATGGCTGAAATGTGGAAGCAACCCAGGTGTCCACTAACAGATGAACAGATAAGCAAAATGTGCTAAATACATACAATGGATTATTCAGCCTTAGAAAGGGAAGAAATTCTGATACATGCAACAAGATGCATGAGCCTTGAGGACATTACACTACATGAAATAAGCCAGACACACAAAAACTATAGGATTCTATTTATCTAAGGTCGCCAGAAAAGTAAAAATCACAGAGACAAATTAGAATGGTGGTTGCCATGTGCTGGGGTAGAAGGGAATGGGGAGTTGGTGTTTGATAAAAGTTTGATAAACAGGAGTTCTGGAGACGAGTGACAGTGATGGCTGCACAACACTATCCATCTATTTCGTATCACTGCACTCACCACACGCTTAAAGACAGTGAAGATAAATTTTGTGTGCCATTTTACCACAATTAAAAATTTTTTAAAAAAGAACTCAAAGGAGCAGAAAGTTTCAACAAAATAACAAACTTTTTTTTTTTTTTTATATCCAGCAAGTCCTTGACAAAGAACTCTCATCAAGAACCAGCTGCACTGAAGCAGGGAAAACAGAATCCAAACGGCAGATTCCATCAGACTTTGAGACAAGATGACCATAGATACCGATCACGTAGGGTCCTTCTTCCTTCGTGCCTGAGTCACCCCACTCCCTCCCACGAATGGTCTGGAAATGTCTGTGTTACTTCTAACACGTTCCAGCAATTAAAGCGCCCCCAGAAACAAGTAAAAACCTGTAAGCCCTACAGATCCCATGTTTCCTTTCAATCTTCAGTGTGGAATCCTTTTGTACCACTAGTGTCCGACTAAAAAGTGTTAAACCTGGCTTTTAGTTCTAGCTGGTTGTGATATAACCTCTTGGTACCTCAGTGACTTCACCCATTAAAAACAAACAAACAAAAAGCATATCAGTATCTCTCATACTGAATTGTTGGGAAGCCCCGCTAGAAAATCAAAATATGGCCCTCAAGATGCGGCACCCAGGCTCCCAGAGTCAGAATCACTGGGTGGGAGGTGTTGGTCTAAAATATAAATTTCGAGGCCTCAGTCTACTAATTCAGAACATCTTGGTATGAAGCTTGGAAACCTGCACTATTTCACAGTCCCCTTAAAAGAGAATGTTGGATGGTTCCTCAAAGGCACAGTCCACGGCCAGATTCCACTATAGGAGACCAAGCCCGGACCGCAGACCCCGGGCCCTCCCCGCCCCGCCCCGCCCCGCCCCGCCCCTGACCCCAGCCTTCTCAGACCCCGGGCACTCGGCCACCCTGCCCTGCCCTGCCCCTACCCTCCGGCCTCCTTGACCCTCCCCTGATTGCTCCCCCGACCCCAGGCCCACTCCGACTCAAACCCCCACCCAGTCCTCTCCGCCCGACCGCCACGGCCGATCAGCCTGTGCCGCTCACCTGGATCTCTGGAAAAAGCTGAAGGAAGACACATCGTACGCGGCTTTGAGCAGCACCACCTTGGCCTCGCCTTTGTAGAGGACGCTGAGGCTGTACAGTTTCATGGCTCCGCGCCCTCAGGCCGCCCGCCTGCCCAGCCGCGGGACCCGCTCTCAGGGAGCAGCGCGGCCGCCGCCCCTCGAGACCGCCGCCGCCTACCGGTCTCTCAGCAGCCCGCTGCTGACGGGGCCACCGCCGGCTTCCTCCTCCCGGCTCTCAACCCACTTCCGGCTCCGGTCAGCCTGGTTCTGGGTTCTCATACCCCGGATGCAGAAATGTGCGGACGGAAGTTCAATGCCACGAGGGGCGGGGCTCCACGCCTCGCGTGAGCCTGGTCCCTCCCTGCTCGCCAGGTGAAGTCGGGCGCTCAGCGGGACACTGTACTGTCCTGTGCTGGGTGGTGCTGGGCCTCCCAGAGCGGCCTGAACCCTTCTTTTTGCTTGCGTTGTTGAAGGAAGGCAAGTCTACGGATAGGAATGAGTGAGGCACAGTTCCCTGAGGATGCCATAACTTACCCGTTTCTTGTGTATTAAGTGACATCACGTGTTACCAAACTAAACCGGCTGCATTTGCCTGCGCACAACGTAAAACCAAACACCCAAGCATTGGATTTTTGTAGCAAGAAAGATGTATTGCCAAGCAGCCTTGCAAGGAGACAGAAGATGGGCTGAAGTCTGGCTCCCAATACTTGCTTCACAGCAGTAGATTTAAGGGAGAGATTTTGGAATTGGAGTTTCGGGCTGGGCAGTGATTGGCTGAAACGAAGAAACGTTTAGAAAATCTCTTGGCCATGAGCTGTTGCTTCTTCATGCTGCTTCAAGGATCACATGCAGATTCAGGAGTTGGTTTAAAACAAGCTCTGGAAATCCGGGCTGTGACATCAAAGGGCCGCTCCTCGGGCTAGTAAGTCTATTTTGCACAGGCTCCAGTCAGCCATATTGGTTCCAAACTGTTTCAGGAAGTTGTATAAGCAGAGGGGATTATAGCAAACTGTTTCCTTATCGGCTGTCCTCTAGACAAGCTCAAGATTTCTGTTAGTTACTAGTTTCTTTAACCTTGTTGGGCACAGTTTCACATGTAATCAGAAAGGAAGTTGGTCTTTGGAAGTTGTCAGTAAGGTCACAAAATTGTGATGCTAGAAGCAGCCGCATCTGAGATTATAGGAAAGAGATGATGTATTGGAAAAACAACAGCATCACTTTAAACATTACTCTAAATCAAGGTTTCTCAACCTTGGCACTATTGACATTTTGGGTTGGATAGTTCTTTGTTGTTGGGAGACTGCCTTGTGCATTGTGTACTCACTAAATGTCAGTACCAACCTACCCCCTCCCCACTGCACAATCAAAAATGTCAACATGTCCCTTGGGAGCAGTAGTTTTGAGAAACATTCCTTTGCATATATATATATATGTTTGTTTTGTTTTGAGACAGAGTCTTGCTCTGTTGCCCAGGCAGAAGTGCAATGGTGTGATCCCGCTCACTGCAACCTCTGCCTCCCAGGTTCAAGCGATTCTCATGCCTCAGCCTCCTGAGTAGCTGGGATTACAGGAATGCACCCCTACACTCGGCTAATTTTTGTATTTTTAATAGAGATGGGATTTCACTATGTTGGCCAGGCTGGTCTTGAACTCCTGGCCTCATGTGATCCACCCACCTCGGCCTCCCAAAGTGCTGGGATTACAAGCATGAGCCACCGCGCCCAGCTGAGAAACATTGCTTTAAATAATCTGTGGTGAAAGGAAGTTCCCACCACCTGCCCACTCACTTAGTACCTCTCTCACCAACCCTCTTCCCTGGGTATTTCCAAGTACAGAGGGTGGAAAGGGCTTTTCCACATTTCCCCTGTTTTGGTGGTAAACATTAGGAGCAGCCATTGGCGGTGGTTAGGCTCAGCCACCCACAGATATGGACACAGTAGTCTGACAAGCTGGGTTGCTGGGGGTTATCAGTCCAGGCTCATCTGCCTGCACTGACACCATTTCCCTATAGGAGGCAGGTGAGAGCCATTTCTGAGGAAAATCTCTGGAGACTCTCTTCCTTCCACTGAAAGTTGTGCAAAAAGATCAGGAAGACAGTGCTTGGATGGAATAAATTTCAGTGTATTCACTTGACACATTATAGTGTCTGTCCCGAAGTTTACATTACACCAAGTACTTTCCATGTGCCACATCATTTAATCCTCACAAAAACCAGGGGAAGATATTATTGCCTCCCTACAGACATAGAAACTGAGATTCCGTGTAAGGAGATTGTTAGTAAGGGACAAAGTTGGGGTTCAGATGTCAACAGAGAAATGCTTAACAAACTGTCATGCAGCCCGGCTCCACTCCCAGCAACTCTTCCTGCTCCTCTCTGACCTCACTCAGCCTCTACTGTTCCAGAAAGTCTCATTCATAGTCATGTGTTTGCAGACTTCCCAAGTTCACTGTGTTACCAAAAAGCAAGACCTGCCTTCTGCTCCATCACCCCGGCTGTCACCCAACTTGGATTCAATCCCAGCACTGACACATCACAAAATCACAAAAGTGAGCAAACCATTACCTCCCTGAGTCTCCTTTTATCTATAAAACTAGAAAAATATACTTTCCATAGGAATGTTGTTGAGAATAATAAAACATTATGTTACAAGTTCTAGTCATTGCTGATGTTTAACAGGTAACAGTGATAATTATTTGTCTTCTCATTAATGAAAAATAGATTATTAATCATAGTGGGTTGAAGGCATCTATGGGAAGTAGAGATTTGAAGATAGGCTAAAACCCAAGTAAGGCCTCTAGATTAGATAATAGTATTGTATCTATTTTAATTTCCTGCTTTCAATCACTGTGCCATGGTTATATAAGAGAAGTCTTTGTTTATAGGAAATATACACAAGAATTTAGAAGTAAAGGGACATTGTGTCTGCAACTTACTCTTACAGGGTGTGTGTGTGTGAGAGAGAGAGAGAGAGAGAGAGAGAGAAAGCAAATACAGGAATCAGGATGAAGGGTATCTGGGAATTTCTTGTATTGTTCTTGCAACTGTTCTGCAAGTACAGCATTGTGGGAATGGAAAATGCAGGGACTGGGCACTGAGGCTATGAATGAAGCCTGCATAGGAGTGTGGGTAGCAGAGTTCTCTAGTCCAGGCTCCCCTCTTGGGTGCTGGGACCTAGAAGAAAAGCCTCTCTGCAGACAGAGTTGGAGTTAACACTGTCCAAGATAAATGGCCCAGGCCCTGTAAGTTTGCCCCACTGAGCAAAACAAGTACCCACCCACTTTTGCAGCCTTGCCCAGCTCACATAAGGTGCCAGCCCTTGCTGTACAACAGAACCTTTGGGGAGCTGGGCAAAAGCCTATCAAGGATCATACCCCCAGGAAGCCCAGTCCAGGTGGGGAGCCCAGTCACACAATGGCCCTTGCCACCATACCTCATTCAGTCAGCCAAGGCCATGGCAGCTGAGCTGCCTCCATAGTTCCTACAGGAAAGGAGTGTGGAAAGGGGCCACCAATGTGGTCAGGCCTCCATGGCCTGAGTGGGTCACCAAGCGTCAGATGCACAGACTTGATGTCATCAATCAGGATCTGTCAGCAGACCCAGCCCCCAGGAACACTGCTCCTCACTACAACCCCACACCAAGGCATCCTGGGCTCGCTCTGGGTTCTCCAGGCCACAGGGAAGACAGACATAGTCTGCCATCAAAGGTTTGAGCTCTGCCACTGGCTATGAAGCAATAGGTGATGTCAGAGCAAGGGAGGGACAGGACAGGAGTATACGTGGGCAGGAAAGGATTACAGCCAAGGAAGAGAGGAAACAGGTGCCCTGATTTTGAGACTGTGCCCCAGCAGGGGCTTCCCAGAAGCTGTATTTGTCCTAAGACACCCCTCTGCAGCTGAGGGGCTAGAGATGGATATGTATCTGTGTTAGGCCATTCTTGCCTTGGTATAAAGAAATACTGGAGACTGGGTAATTTATAAAGAAAAGAGGTTTCATTGGCTCACAGTTCTGCTGGCTTTACAGGAGGCATGGTGCTGGCATCTGCTCAAACTCTGAGGAGGCCTCAGGAAACTTACAGTCATGGCAGAAGGCAAAGGGGAAGCAGGCACATCACACAGTGGAAGCAAGAGTGAGAGAGAGAGAGAGAGAGAGGCACTAGGAGATGCCACACTTTTAAACAACCAGATCTCTTGTGAACTCAGAGCAAGAGCTGACTCATCACCAAGCGGATGGCCCAAGCCATTCATGAGGGATCTGCCCCCATGATTCAAACACCTCCCACCAGGCCCCACCTCCAGTATTGGGGATTGCAGTTCAGATGAGATTTGGTGAGTACATATATCCAAACCATATCAGTTATCAGTAGCCATGCTGGATGAATGCCAGGAACTTAGAATGAGGACAAATGGTCCTTTAGGCCAGCGGCTCGTCCTATCGATGGTACCCTGATAGTCGTGGGGCTGCCCCATAGAAAAAGCGAGAGGAATTCTGCAGAGCTGTCAGGGAGGGGCAGGTGGGAAGGCCTGCAGGGCAGTCCCCTGCTCCACAACCAGGTGTGCATCTCCCACATCCTTGGGGCTGTAGGCCCCACGTGAGAGCAGAAAGAAGGATGCAGAGGAAGGGCAAGAACACAAGGTGTGCCCTTGGGAAGGCTGGGCACACCAAACACAACCTAACAGACAACAGTAGTGAGCACACAGGGAAAGTCCTCACAAGGAAACCACATCATGACCTAGAGGCTGATCCTGCATCCTGCCACGTGGTGCCCAGGCCCCAGCCTATGAACCAGTGGTCCTTATTGCCACAGCGATTAGTCTATGGATAGGCACCTGATCCAAGCTTCAGTCAATCAACAGGCCAATCAACTGGCCATCAGTAGGTCATCCAATCACAGTAAAGCCCAGGACTTTCTTCGACACTTAAGAAGAGAGAAGCAAAGAAACTGGCACAGATTGGAGAGGGTCAGGAAACCCCAAGCAGGATACATACAAACTTTCGGGTAACATGGATGATTAAATATATATGTTTATGTGAACTCCCTCTCAAATATGCTCCACTATAATGACACAAGACAAAGGGCAGGGGGAGAACAATTGGAAGGTGGCGCAAATAAGAGATGCTACCAAGGGTGGTGGGGGAAAGAGGGGGACAGGTGTGAAGTTAGGAGGCAACCGGCTGAGGGGCAGGGACCAGCAGAGGGGGAGGGAGGGGCTGAAGCAGAAGTGTCGAGTGTCTGGAGGGATGGGGCCAGAAAGGCAAGGGGCATCCTGAAGAAGCTATACCTGGGGAAGGCAGCTCCCTCCCCACCTGCTCCCCAATTCATCAGCCAGGAATGCACCATCCACCCCACCCCAGGGAGGAGGATGGAGAACTTTCCTTCGAGAGCATTGAATGGTTCAGAGATTCTGCCACTCTGCGGTCCCCAACTAAACTACTCATTGTTTCAAGTAGTCCCTGTTGGGTAAACATCCCCCATTGTAACTGGACTCAGATTCCGCCGCTTGAAGGCCATATATAAGCGGTGAGGTTTGGTGGGAGGAAAAGTAGTTTTAACTAGAACCAGCAAACTAAGAAGATGGTGAATTGTTGTTCTTAGTTTGGTGAATTCTATTATCTCAAATTTTAAAATTTATCATAGAATTCTTAAAGGAAAACTTGGTATGGGAGATAGATGGGAGCGGTGCAGGCTACAGGGTCTCTGTGTCTTGATCCAATGGTTGTCTTGAGTAATCACCTATCCTGAGGTCTGGTTGGTGTTATCTTGACTTCGGCCAGATGGTGGTGGACAAATTGTTCCAACTCCCCCTAACTTGGAGGATTCCGTAGGGGTTCCATGTCTGGTTTTTGTTTTAAGATTAGCCCCTGGAATTCCCGAGTAAGCATATAGTTAGATAAGTGGGCATGGTGCAAAGGAGTGTCTAGTGGGAAAGGGAGAGAAGCAGAGTTTCAAAGTACATTTCAAGGCTACATTTTAAGACTAAAGAAAAACGCCTTAAAATGCATTTTAAAGCTGAGATGCTCAGCTACACTAGGCTCTGGCCAGTGTGCGGTGTGGCTGCCCTTGGATCAGGTGACGTTTCAATCAACTGTGGCCAGGGAGGGCAGGGCCACGTGGCAGAACCTGGGACCTCCGTGTGAGGGACTGTCTTGGTCCCTGTCCTTAGCAGGAAGCTATAGTAAGGAACCTTTAGGGAGACGTTAAGGTGGGGAGACCATACCTGCCAACCCTTTAACCTCCCCAGCCTCAGTGACCTTAGTTGGAAAGTGGTGGTAATGATACTACCACTGGCAAGGTGTGGTGGCCAAACATTCCACACTTCTGCTTCAGCCGCTCTCTCCGCACTCTGCTGTAATCCCAGCACTTTGGGAGGAATAGGTGGGCGGAACCTGAGGTCTGGAGTTGAGACCAGCCTGGCCAACATGGTGAAACCCCATCTCTACTAAAAAGAAAATACAAAAAATTAGCTGGGTGCAGTGGCGCATGCGTGTGGTCCCAGCTACTCTCAGGTCTGAGGCCTGAAAATTGCTTGAGCCTGGGAGGTGGAGGTTCCATTGAATGGAGATCGAGCCACTGCACTCCAGTCTGGGTGACAGAGCAAGACTCTGTCTCAAAAAAATAAAATAAAATAAAATAAAAATAGTAATAATAATAATACCACTGCCTGCTGCACTGAGATTGTCTGATTAAATGACAGAATAAATGCAAAAGTACTTTGCGAATCATAAATATTTTCATCAATATTAGTTATAATGACAATTGCTCCTTCTCCTAATAAATGTATTGCCTTTTTTTAGGAATAAATCTAACGAGAAATATGTAAGTTCTATATGAGAAAAATAATGAAATTCACCTGAAGGACATAAAATAAAACCAAAATAAATGAAACAACACGTATTTCTAGATGAGAAAACTCAATATTATCAAGAGGTTAGTTCTCTAAAATGAATCCCTAAACCCACAAAGTCAATGCATTTCCAATGAAATTGTCAACAGCATCATTTTCTGAAGTGGGATGAGTAGTGCTAAGATTTATAAGAAAGATAAAAGGCACATGGCAAAGAAAATTTTGTGGAAAAAAAAATCTTATTGAGAAAACAATTTCCTGCCCCCATCAGATATTTTAAAAAACTAACATTATACAAACCAAAAGAGTGTAGTATCAGCAGAGGAATGAGATATGCAGTGTGCAAGGCAAAGCCAAGGCCAAGGCCAGGGCCTGCCTGACTCGGCAGGTGAAGTATAAGGAGTGACTTCTATATTCAGATAAGTTATTACCAACACAGACAGCAAAAGAAAGGGTAACCCAAGGTGCAGGCCCCTGGGTTCTCCTGTGCTCTAAAAAGGGTGACACTAAAGCCAAAGGTGCAAGATGCTTGCAGTGTCTTTCCTTGCTGCGGAGCCAACCCTAGACTGCAGCTGCGAGCCTCACATCTGTCCCACGAGAACCTGGAGACGATAAGGAACTCTCCTGACCCTCCCAGGGAGGTGAGAAAGGCAGTGAGATATGGCCTCCAGCAGGATCACACAGTGTTCTGACAAGACTCAGCTCTCTGTGGTTCCCAGCTTTGCCTGTGTGGCCTTTGGGTACACCTGGAAGGTGACCAGAGCAGAGCTGTTCCCTTATAATGAGAAATAATGGAATACAAACTGTGGGTGCAGCCAACATTCCAGAGCAGTGGGGAAGGGATTGCTTCCCCACCAAATAGCCATATTAGACTCTTCCCTAGCACCATACCCAAACCACCATCTCCCAGGACTCAGGAGAGCAGAAAGGAGGAATGAGAAGAAAGGCGAGGATGTGAGATGTGCCCTTAGAATGATGGCGCAACAGCATAAGCAATTGCAGAAAGACTAAAGTACTGAACAAATAGAAAACTTGGAAAAATATTAGAAGGAAATGTGGGAGAACATT